CCATGATAAACATAAGTGTTTATACAGGAACATGTCCTTCTTAGTGAAATCAGGTTGGCATGTTTGTGAATTGTTTTTCGAAAGATATTACTATAAAATTGTTTGCGTTTTCTGTTGTGATTTGCTTTGATTTTCATTGTGTGCTCTTTGGTCCACAACTCTGGCTTGGACTTGACGTGATGTAGATTACTGAGCTCCCAAGCTATAGTATATTTTTCCAACACATTTAACACATTTTCACATTCAACACATTTGCCTTACTTCCAAATAGTTTAAGAATGACCTTTTTTTTATTTTTTAACTTACCTTAACATCTCTTTACAGATCGATATCAATAACACAAAGTAGAGCGTTTTAACTTGCAAAGCGAAATTCGTTATGGATTGCAGCCTATAGCTATCTTAACCTGTTATCTCTAAAAAAAAAACGCTCGGATATCACACCGTTGTGTTTCCCGCAGCATGAAAAAAAGCCTCCGTCCTTACAAGTCTCCGTTCAATTTATTTGAAGCTTTACCATGATGTTGCCATTAGAGCCCGAAGCTTGTTTGTGCTTCTTGTTACATTACTTTTTAATTACAGAAATAACTAGTTGGAGGCAGTTGTTTTGTGTGGATGTCGGCGGGTAAAAGGAGGGGGGGCTGTAGTGTTAGGTGACGAGAAAGAGGGAGTTGTCGAAGATTTATTTTGGATGTGACCTTCTCCACACTCGCTGCAGCTGTAATCAGTGGAATTAATAGCATAATCAAATTATACACAAACTCATAAATCATCGGTGAGCGCGCTGTCATGGCGTCGGGCTATTAATGGCCTCCATTGTTTTGCTACCGTATTAAAAAATCACGTCCCCTGATTCCCGTCTTGATAGGAACTGAAATGCCATTTAGAGGCTATAAAGAGCAGGGGCTTGTGGGGGTACTGGATTTTCACAACTGTTAATTTAGCCGTGATGGCGAGTGATGTCGCCAGGGCGAGTGCTGGGGCCTGGAGAGGGAAAGGCAGTGCCCACGCACTCTGCCCGACTGCATCATTGCGGCCGACAGCGGGCAGTTAATTAGAGTAATATCAGCTTAAACGTCTGTCAGTTAGGGTTAATGACATCAAAGGGCTTCCCCGCTGCCTCTATGGGCTTCTGTGGAGGACAGGAGATGGGCCCAGATGATTGCTGGCAGATTTAGACTTTCTTTTTTTTTTTTCATCTTTGCACTTTATTAAGATGCCATGTCTCTATATTAATCTGGGCAGACAAGGCCAGAAGTTTTTTTTTTCCATCTCGTAAGCTTGGAGTGAGCAGAAAAAGAGTCTCTTTCCATCTCACCATCTGTCTTTAGACATTTTAATGTGGTGCCCGTATCTAACCTCTGGCCTTCTTGTGTGTTATATGAGTTGGTGGCTAATGGGGCTGATTGTATGAACAAATAAAAAAATATGTTTATAAAGGTTATCTATACTCCCCTAAGAAACATATACGAAATTAATATGTTCATTAAGGAATAGTTCACCCAAAAGTGATAATTTCGTCACCTCTTACTTGCTCTTTACTTGATTCAAACTCTTGTGTGTTTTTTCTGTTGAACAAAAGAAGATATTTTGAAGGAAATCGGTAACCTTTGACTTTCAAATTATTTGATTTTCCTACCATGGAAGTCAATGGTTACAGGTTTTCAGCATTTTGACAATCGCAAAAAATATTAAATATAAACATGATAAACAAAAAACATTAAATAGCCCATATTATACATGAAATAGGGTCATATTTTGGTTGTAAGGGTCTCCAACAACAGTTTAATATGCATGCAAGGTCAAAAAACACTTTCATGGTCTTATAATCTGCATTTATTTTTACCTAATTATCCCAGCGACTCCCATATGAATCGTCCAGTGATTCATTTGTTCCCAAACCCCTCCTTAGCGCGAAGCTAATCTGCGCTGATTGGACAGATGACAGTCTGTTGCGATTGGTCGACACTGACGGCCTTCAGCGATTGACAGAGTGAAATGCCCAGCAGCTAATCAACATTAGAAAAGTAATCACAGTTCATGCACGCTCGATAGTGTAAGGCGTGGATTTTAGCTGCCAGTGGGTGAATGTAAATACAGACGATGGACTTGAAAATACAGACGACTATTTTATTGAGCAAAAACTTCAAGAACTGGCGAGGAGATCTCCTAGCTTGTTACACTCTGCTCTTTTCACAGACACAGACACACACACACACACACACACACACACACAACCCTCCTCCGGACGACAACGCATGCACGCACACACACACACACACATTACCCTCCTCCACATAACATAAACAAAGCGGCACGTGTCTCGTTTTTAACGTGGCTTTGCACACGATATGAGAATATAGCGAGTTAACCTGAAACAGTACACGTGGTTATAAGTGACAAATCACAACTAAATACATTTACCAGCTAGAGAAAACGAGGCAACAACTTTAATCGCACGTACTTACACTGAAGGAAGAAACCGATCCAGGTTCAGTACTCTTTACTGATCCTTCCTTTAACAAACGGCCGATGAAGTATTCTTTGTAGCTTGTAGTTTCCAGTAGTTTCCAACTGCTCAAGGGTTATAATGTTGAGATTTCATCTTTGGGTAGAGACTCAATAATATCCATCTGTAGTGTGACTTCAATCGGCCGGCATGTTTGTGTGTGTGTGTGTGGTTTTCTGTGTTAGAGGGCGGGGCCGCAGGTTTCAAATTTCCCGGGTTTGCGCATGCACATGAATAACTTGGTTTCGTTATCACGTCATGGCGAAACACCTAATGACCCGTTATCAAGATGACTCGTTTGAAGCACTATGAATCGACTCTTTCATAGATGAATCAACAGTTTTAAACACTGTACACTTACAGATTTAAGCCTTAGCTGGATACTTCACTTCACTTAGAGCTTTTTTACACACTACATGGAAGGGCATTTTCAAAAACCCATAATATGGGCTCTTTAACATGCAAATTTTTGCTTTAATAAATGTGCTACACTGTAAAACCCAAAAAGTAAGGTAACTCAAACCATTTGAGGAAACGGATTGCAACAAAGCATTTAAGTTCAAAAACTAATCTAAATGAATACTGTGAATTTAATCCATTTGAGTAAATGAAGCTATATGAGCACAGTAAAACCCAATAAATGAAGAGAACTCAAACCAACTGAGTACTGTAAAACCCAATAAGTTAAGGCAGCTCAAACCGTTTGAGGAAACCGATTGCTACAAATTGTTTGAGTTAAACTAATCTATATGTGTATTGTGAACTTACTACATTTAAGTTGAAGTAATAAGGTATTTAATTAACTCATTACCTTCCACTCTGTTTAAAATTCTTTTCAAATGAGTAGTCAATTTTGAGTTAACTACACTAAACATTTCATTTGATAAAATTCACTGTTGGGCTTTGCAGTGTAGAAAAGACCACAATTAATTAACATGTTAACACATTAATACAATACAACACAACACTATAACACTTTGCAATAGGTATCCAGGTATCCATTAAACATGAAATAACAAATTAAGTCATTCTAATTTTTATTCCTCTGTAAATTAAATAAGAAAATGCATATTTAATGCTTTACAATAAGGTTCCATTAATACACGCTAATTATGTCTTTACTACGAGTGCTGATATACATTTTCATATTAGTATGGACACACTTAACTTGGACAGTCATACCACATGACAAAAAATTTAAGTAATAGTCTGTTAACATCATCTAAAGCTATCGGATGATGTAATAATATCTTGTCAGAGGAACAACATAAATGTATGTCTTTTTGGCCAAAGGAGAAATGGTCGGGCCAGACTAAGCCTGGTTTCTCTCAAGGTTTTTTTTCCCTTCCCTTTTGTCAATTGGTGAAGTTTGTTCCTTGCCACTGGCCTTCTTGGTTTGGGACTTGTAAAGCTATGCATAGATGGATTTGCCCTTCTGTGTTTGGACTTTCAGCAGTGAAAATTAAACCACACTGAACTGAACTGAACTTTAAATCTTAAACTGGACTGACACAGTTTCAATTTACTAGAACTTCTGTCGAGCTGCTTTGACACAATTTACATTTTAAAAGCACTATAAAAAATAAAGATGAATGGAATTGAATTAACGAATACCCATTTTTATTAGTAGATGGCATCATGGACAGCTAAAACTGCATGTCTCGTCATATGTTACATCAATATGTAAAAATATGAAGAGAACCAGACCAAAAAAAGTTGAACTTTTGTCTATAATTTTTTTTAAACCACGCTACAACTATGTATTTATGTTAAAACGGCTCAGCTAGATTGCTGTCGAAATTAGTTTATATTTCTATATTAGTTTTACTTTTAAAAATGGTTTCACTCTGTTTTATCTCACAGCAAACATTGAGAGTTCATTAATAAATAACATTTTAAAAGGGAAAAAAATGGTGTAGTATCATTTTAATATCATTCCCCCAAGCGCTTTGAATGTCCAGAAAGGGGCTATATAAACCTAAGGAATTGTTATTATCATGATATTTAATTTAGGTGTATCGAAGTCAAAATTTTGGTGTCGTGACAACACTATTATATCATATCTAACGTTATATTACATTAACAACATTAACATTAAAAAACGAAAACTTCTAGTTTAGTGTTATTTATAGCATTGGCTGTTGTATGCCAATCTGTGCTCATCTCTTTCTAATTAAGTTTGCTTTTGGGCTTACATTTTAAAACAGTTTGTCCTTTTTGTCCTTTGTCCTGTGTTTATAATTCGATCGCTCTGCTTTACTTTATCACCACTACATGACAAAAAGGCTTACTTGTGAAGTTAACACATTGTAAGATCTTGGGGACATTTTTGCCTTGTCAAATGAATTGGATATTGTCCTTTTCGTGCCGACAAGGTGTGATCAGCCCTCTTAATGTCAAGCCATCAGATAAAATTATGGGTGTTTAGCGGTCTTGGATGTTATATAAATGCAAGTGTGTCTAAGGTGTTGCTTTTTTTTCTCTTTCTGCAGAATGTGTGCTGTATTTGGAGGAATTTATTGTCTGCGACACTCGGTGCAATGTCTAGTTGTGGATAAGGAGTCCAACAAGTAAGTAGTGAATGTAGTTGAATTTCTGGTGTAAGCCCCTGTAGTGTTATAATGTTAAAGTCCAAGTGTACAGTATACTGTTTTTATGCTGATGTGGGTTAAGTTAAATGCTTAAGCACTCATTTTAGTAAGGCAGCAGAAAAGACTTTGTTGACATTTTATTATTATGATAGATTATTATTATTATTATTATTATTATTATTATTATTATTATTATTATTATTATTATTATTCCTGGGTGTTAAAACAATCAAATAAACATTTTTCTTTGTGAGTTTCATGTGGGGAAAATGTAAACTTTTGCTCATGTCAGTTATTTTTATTTATTTATTTATGCTAAATATAACCTGGCAGTGGTGAAAGTGTATTTAATCTAGTATACCGTTTTCACACTCTTAGGGCTTTATTTTGACGATCCATGCACAAGTCCAAAGCGCAGGATGCAAACGCAAATTCAGTTCTAATTTCCAGCAAACAAATAAATTATATCCTAATATCATCTGAATCCTAACAGGTGGGCAAATCTAAGCTTTTTTTTTAAATAAAACAAATATAAATATGTATAAAAGAAATAATACTGCTAATAATGATAACATTATACAAAAGCAAATTGTCACGGGTGCCCCCGAGATGAAGAAGGTATGAAAGTATAATTTTTATATTTATGTAGGCTAGAAAATAATATGTTTTGTAATATTTTAATCATATATATTTATATCCTATATAAATGTCCTTATTATATCCTATATATTCTTAATATTTTTATTCTTTTTCATATGTAAGGATATTTGCGTATTGCTCTACATCTTGTGTGTATTAAGCAGTGTGTAAGGGAGGCGCACAACTAACGTGCTCTGCGCCGGACAATAGACCGATTTTAATCTGGTCTATTAAAAATCTATTTTAGTTTCTCAAAAAAGCAACGTGCCAGCAATGCGCCTCAACACGCCTTCCTTTTTAGACCAGAACGCCTATGGGCGCACATATGAGCGCAAATGCATTTGCTATTTAAACAGCGTGGTGCAAAACGTCAAAACGACTCTTGTGCCAAGCTGAAACTTGGGCCACATTGCGTCGGGTGTATGATAGGGCCTATAGTGTAAAAGGATTTTCTCTGCTTAGGTGTATATATTCTACAATTTTTAAAGTGTAACTTATACACTGGGCTATTGGGACTCGTGTGTGTGTGTGTGTGTGTGTTTGTGTGTGTGTGTGTGTTTGTGTGTGTGTGTGTGTCTGTGTGTGTGTGTGTGTGTCTGTGTGTGTGCGTGCGTGCGTGCGTGCGTGCGTGTGTGCGCACCAGAAGAGAGTGTTATCTATATAACACCTCTGGAGTGAAATGTACACTGGACAATTTGCCCTGCAGATGTTAAAATGTTTATTGTGGTTTGCATTTTTACACTCTTAGTGTAAAATATTTAGCACTGCAGAGGTGTAGAAAATCAACACTTTTGAAAGTGTAACCTGGTCACTTGGGATATATATACACCAGAAAAGTGTCAAATTCAACACCTGTGGTGTAAAATGTACACTGGCCATATATATATATATATATATATATATATATATATATATATATATATATATATAGCATGTAATCAATATAACTTATTTCTAAGACAATAACAAACTCTTTACCGCATCGGATGTCATTCCCTCGCTGTAAATGCTAGTGCTTCTTTTTTTTTTTCTGCCACCTTGCTGCGCACACATCCTGAATGTTTACAAACATGGCAATTTGTCTATATACAGTGTATGTGTATATATATATATATATATATATATATATATATATATATATATATATATATATATATATATTATGGGTGGAGCCGAACCCGACTACGGTATTCGGAAAGGCACGAATAGCGTGTTTATACAAATACTTATTTCGAACAAATACTTGAAAAATGATTTGTATTCGGGAACAAGAAAAACATTATATCGAACAGCTGCGTTTCCTCATGAGACCGCAGTGCATGCCCGCGTGAGTGAGTGAGTGAGTGAGAGAGAGAGTGAGTGAGACGGAGAGCAGGGTGGAGGTAAAGGTGACTGGCACAGGCTTCTCCACACAGCAACAGAGAAGGCTCACCTGAGCAAAAAAATACTTTACTGCATCACTATTTTTGTTAAACAGATTTTTTTACCTTACCTGGGTTCCAAAGGCAGTTTATAAACTTGTAGCGGAGTTGAAGCGGAGTTTGACCGAGATTAATTAATATTCCATTACGCTGCATTATTGACGTCTGCAATCGGGTGCTCTCCGTTTGCGCAACGTTAGCTCTGTTAGCGCGATAATTTAGACAATAGACTGTTGACACAGTAACGTTAACTTTCGTTTATAAAGGTTAAACGATGCTTGTTCAGTTGTGTCGAATAGTATGCACTTATGGGAGTTGCATGGTACGTCTAAATTACTGTCTTTTGCAGACAGCAATGTATTTGCTATAGGCTAGTTAACCTTAGCATAGCTTCCCGTCATTTATTAAAGGGCCATGAAACCCCCTCGTTTCAGCAGGGTCTTTTCACACCTCTACTTTGGAAAAAGTCAGAAAAGTGGGCGTGTCTAGCTCTGTTTAGGGGGGAGTGTCGGAGGAACTAAAGTGGGATGGTGTGGGAGTGTCTATAGCAACCTTCTTGCTGTGAGGCGACAGCGTTACTCACTGTGCCACCACGCAACCCTCTATGTAATGTATTATCACATGCACTTAAAGTATCCTCTCCTGATACTGTCTGCCAACCCACCACAAGCATCAATCCCCTCATCAGCACAGCCATGTTCTGCTAAATTTTCCACAAGCACCAAACCATCAACACAGCCACATTCTGCCCCGGCAAGTCAGTTTACTTTTGTTCTGCCAGACCTCCCAGTCAGGGGTTTATTAAGTTTTATTTAGTTAATTTTAGTTTTTGGTATTCTGTGCATTAGAAAGAAGTTCTTTCAAAAAAAAGAACAGTTCTTTGAAGTATTATTTGTTTTTATTCTGTCTATTCAGCATCCTTCAACAAGAACGGTGGTGGTGGGGTTCATAATATTCACAATGGTATTTTAGTTATTGGTTTAACCATGGATGAGGTAATGGCTTATATGTTTTCAATGACGTTTCTTGTTACATATTCAAAAACATCAACCGATATTGCATATCCATAATTATTGTAATGGGTATAATTAAACAATACTTACACTATAATGTAAATTAGAATTGTAATAGAAAAATATATATATATTTTTACACCATTTTGAATTTTACTCGAATACAAATACAAATACTTTTCCCCCCTCAACAAATACAAGTACAGATACAAATACTGGCTGCTCCGCACATCCCTAATATATATATATATATATATATATATATATCAGGGCTCGAAATTGCGACCATTTTGGTCGCATATGCGCCCGAAATTTTATCTATGCGAACATAAAATATTTTTGGGAGCATTTCTGCGAGTGCTTAAAATTGTTGTGTGCGACCAGTTTTTACTGCAAAATGTTCACCACATGCGCGGATTCGGGAGACATTCACGCAGAATTCATCTCTAAGCTCTTTGTTTGCACTTGGAACGGGAAACGCAGCGCTCAGGAATGGTTTTAAACAGTTGTCATGTCGTCTTGCTGCAGTAAACAAATCCAAGTCCGTAATGCTTGCCCCGGCTTCGCGCTCTTCTTATTGGCCCACTGCTCTAGCACTGAACGCGAATGATTGGTTAATATCAGCTGTCAATCACTCAGTCAGCGCCTTCTGGCTTCGGATGACAGAGAGCTGCTACCGCGGAAAACTAAAGCGCTAAAGATGAGATTGAAGATAACGCGGACAGATTTAGTTTTAGAAACCATCTAGTTACAAATAATGACACATCTTACTAGTGATCATGTGCTGAATGTTAATCCACCATCTACACTTTTCCAAGAGTAGAAGACTTCCATTGGCTTCAAGTCTGCTATGAAAAGTCTGTGGGATGGAGTTTTCAGGTAACTGTTTGCCACATCTAGCACGAGAGCTTCTGTTTAATCCTTCAAATAATTGCCAGATGCTCTCCGCCGTGCAAGGGGCAGCTATATGTCAAATTTAACATCACGTACACCATCGCAAATGGGCTTACACTGAGTAAATTAATATCGCTAACTTACTCATGAAAAGACCGGTATGGCTATTAACATGACGTATGCATACAATAAGGTACAATATGTGTCAAAAGCATCAGTGCAATATCAGACAGCACTTGTGAGAACAGCACAGTTAACGTTATACCGTTCAGATCGTAACAGATTCATTCAAGCAGTGCGTGCAGGGCCGGTGAGCGCTCCGTGCTTTGGTCACTCAGTTATGTTATAAAAATCTATTTTCTTGTGATCACGAGATTTCGTTGAGACATATTTTCCTCACGCACGCATATTTATACTATTATTTTTTTGCTTGTTAGTTTGATTAGTGTTGATTTCAAATACAATAAATCTGTTTGTATAAAACTTGTAGTAACGGTGCTCATAATTGGTGGGTGCGACTAAATTTTGGCTGATGCGCCTAACTTTTTAAAGTTAGGAGCACCGGTGCTACCAAGCAAAAAGGTTAATTTCGAGCCCTGTATATATATATATATATATATATATATATATAGAAAGAGAGAGAGAGAGAATGAAAGAGATTTTTATACAGTTTTTTTGTTTTGTACAAAAAAAATCCTATAAAGTATTTTTTAAAAATAATAAGAAGAATAATTCATTCTAATCTAAACAACTCAGAAAAAAAATATTATATACTTCGAAAGGATGAAATGACTAGTCTGAACTGGCTGCATATTATATACATTAGTAATGGTTAATCAACTCGTTTGCCCTTTTTAAATAATCTACACATTTTAATCTTGTAATTATTATAATTTTCTTAGAGTTTTTATTGTTTTGGTCATTTATTTTCTCATTAGCTGTATATTTTATTAAACTGATAATGCCAATGTATTACATATTTTATACATTTCTAAAATGCTTTGGCTTGCAA